AGCCGTGTGCGGCAGCTGCCAAAAAGGCCAACACAGTGCTAGGCTGCATTAACAGAGGGATAGAATCAAAATCACGTGAAGTATTAATACCACTCTTCAATGCCTTGGTAAGGCCACACTTGGAATCCTGCATCCAGTTTTGGTCACAACGATGTAAAAAAGATGTTGAGACTCTAGAAAGAGTACAGAGAAGAGCAACAAAGATGATTAGGGGACTGGAGGCTAAAACATATAAGCAACGGTTGCTAGAATTGGGTATGTCTAGTTTAACGAAGAGAAGGACAAGGGGGGACATGATAGCAGTATTCCAATATCTCAGGGGCTGCCATAAAGAAGAGGGAATTAAGCTATTTTCCAAAGCACCTGAAGGCAGGACAAGAAGCAACGGGTGGAAACTAATCAAGGAGAGAAGCAACCTAGAACTAAGGAGAAACTTCCTGACAGTGAGAACAATTAATCAGTGGAACAGCCTGCCTCCAGAAGCAGTAAATGCTCCAACACTGGAAGTTTTTAAGAAGAGACTGGACAGCCATTTGTCCGAAATGGTGTAGGGTTCCTGCCCGAGCAGGGGGTTGGACTAGATGACCTCCAAGGTCCCTTCCAACTTTACTACTATTACTAAAATGAAACTAGTCCATAGCCATACAGCTGAAAAGTTCAACACTATTTCAAATTACCAAATGGTTACAAAATAAGCACAAAATGGCAATCCAGAAACACATCAACATATAAAACTTTGAGGATTTCAGAAATGCCACTTGGGTGAGAACCATTCAGATTACAGGGTAATCTCATTCCAGAGGACAGGTCATTACTTCAGAGGTGTGTGTCTTGGATTCTGAAAGATGACAGTACATAATAGAGGGAACTAGAATGTCCCCATTCTGAAGCACACTGGAGTGCCGTGCAACTCACAAGCAGAGAATTCACATGTGCATGTTGAGGCAAGCCCATCATTGCTCATATCACTGCATTCTGGGCCAGCTCAAGCTTCCAAATGGACTTCAAAGTCAGTCCCATGCAATATTATAGTAGTTGATCTGTGAAGTGACAATGTTGTGATTAACTGGAGAGCAGTTTGATTCAAGGAAGGGCAAAAATTGAGGTTTGCAATGGTCCTCTTGGCCACAATTGTCACCTGGTCTTCGAGGTAGAGTCACGAGTTCAAGATGTTACCTGAGTTGCACACTATTTTGAATGGGGAACTGCAATCCCATTCAGACATAAGGCTAGAAAATCTTCAAACCTAGGTGACCCCAACAATCATAGGCACTTAGTCTGGGTAGGACAGAGACCTCTAAGTTATCAGAGTTGGTTTCATCCAAGCCTAAACAACTTCCAGGCCATGCAGCAGAGCTTTGACAGCCTCACTTGGATGGCCTGGGGTCAAACATTGTAATTACATGTCATCAGTATATTGACAATACCATAACCCAAACTGGCAGATGTTTTGGGTAGATGTTGAACAGGATAGGAGAGAGGATTGAATCCTGTAGTACCCTGCATATGAGGGGCCTTGATAGCAAGCTCTTCATTCCCCAATATCCACTGGAACTGTTGTAAAGGAAGGAAGAGAACTTGTGATATATGGTGCCCTGGCATCAGGAGTCTTTGGTGCTCGCTGAGCTTGGTTGCTTTCTTGCAGACATTTCAATATCCAAACTAGGTAACATCATGAGTGCTAATCATTACCCTCAGCACTAGCACTGATGATGTTACCTAGTTTGGGTAATGAAATGTCTGCAAGAAAACAGCCAAGGTCAGAGAGCACCCAATATCATTTCAACTTTCAGCTACAAATATTCTCCTTTATTGGTATGCTGGAATCATTTCTGAACCGCACTTTCAAACTGTTGAAGTAGGTGATTTTTTTTTAAAGGTTCTTGTAATGCAGCTTTGTGTTTTAGAGGCATTTTACTCTGTTCCAAAGCGGAACATTTCAAAATAATGGTGATTTACTTGGCCTTGATAATGAATCTCCAGAGATTTTTTCCCAAGACTGCCTCTGAAACAAACATCAGAACAAGGGAACATTGGAGGACCTCTTGCCTCCAGGTCTGAAAGCACACCATCATATATTCCTCCTGGACCACCCAGAATTGAAACAGAAGACAAGGGCACATGAAAAGGGTTTAGTCTCTAAGATCGCCTTCAGACATCAAGCTTTCCTTGGGTTTCTTTTCAATCAGCAAAGTCCTCCAAGCCTCTGAATTGAGATCCTTCTGACTCTTTTTGAAAATGGCTTCTGATGAGTCAGTGGCTATTCCAGAAATGCACATAATGGTTTTCCTTTTTCTGCTACTGCTTGCCCTAGTATCCTGGGAGATCCCACAAAGAAAATGCCCCTTGACTTTAAAAGAATATGGAAAAGTCTGGAGAAATTATTTCAGGCCAGGCCATTATGTCATTGGTGGAGTAATTTCAGCAAGGAAAGCTATACGGCCAATTTACAATTTCAGTGTGATTCCCTCCAGCAGTTTTTTTCTCTGGTGAGTCATTATGGAGAGATCACCTTGCTGCCAATCCATTTGCCACTGATTTTACTTATTCCTTTTTCCCGTTGCCTAAATTGCTATTGGAGATGACAAAGGCTTGGGGATTCATCAAGGTTAAGGTGTTACCGAGAGTATTGCTTTTTCCTTCAGACCCTGCAGTTGAATCAGATTTCTTTAAAATTTACACAACAAACATTGCACCATACATTTTGAGTGCAAAGCAAAAACCTAAGTCTAGTGTTCCAATAAGGGGTATCCATAACTCTGTGGTATCCTCTCACTGTTTTCCTATTCATGCAAATCTAAAATTTGGTGCAGTTTGAACTAGGACAACACCTTCAGATTCCTCCTTCTCAGAATTTTCCTAACATTAAAAAAAGAAGAAGAATGTTCCTTTCTTTTGCTACTGTATGCAACCACGTGTAGAATAGAGCTTGCAGCACAAATGAGGAAATACCAGAGAGGGTGACAGTTAGATGGGAGACAAAAACAGAGCTCCTCATTTTCTTGGGAAATTATGATAGTTTCTGTTGTGATATGCAAAACTGCATCTGGCAGGAGAGAGAAAGTGTCAAGAGGCTGTGGTAGCTTTTTCCAATTGCAGATGATTGAATTATGCTCAATAGTAGTAACTGTGAGAGGGACCTCGGAGTTCTAGTAGACAATCACCTAAATATGAGCCAGCAGTGTGCTGCAGCTGCCAAAAAGGCCAACCCAGTGCTAGGCTGCATTAACAGAGGGATAGAATTAAGATCATGTGAAGTATTAATACCACTCTACAATGCCTTGGTAAGGCCACACTTGGAATACTGCATCCAGTTTTGGTCACCATGATATAAACAAGATGTTGAGACTCTAGAAAGAGTACAGAGAAGAGCAACAAAGATGATTAGAGGACTGGAGGCTAAAACATATAAGGAACGGTTGCTAGAATTGGGTATGTCTAGTTTAACAAAGAGAAGGATGAGGGGGGACATGATAGCAGTATTCCAATATCTCAGGGGCTGCCATAAAGAAGAGGGAATCAAGCTATTTTCCAAAGCACCTGAAGGCAGGACAAGAAGCAATGGGTGGAAACTAACCAAGTAGAGAAGCAACCTAGAACTAAAGAGAAACTTCCTGACAGTGAGAACAATTAATCAGTGGAACAGCCTGCCTCCAGAAGCAGTAAATGCTCCAGCACTGGAAGTTTTTAAGGAGAGACTGGACAGCCATTTGTCCGAAATGGTGTAGGGTTTCCTGCCTGAGCAGGGGGTTGGACTAGATGACCTCCAAGGTCCCTTCCAACTTTACTACTATTACTATTACTAATTATGGTTGAATTTACAGTGCAGAATAGCAGGATGAGTGTGTGTGTGTGGGGGGGGTGGAATTGGCAACTGATAATCATAGCAAGGAGACAGTTCTGTTGAGGCCAATTTGCTTCTTCAGATTTTTGCAGCTGATCCTGAGTGGTTGCTTGAAATGAGGGAAATATTTTCCACTGGATGAAAATCAGACATGGCAATCCATATCTAAGATAAATAGGACAGATTCTGAATGCAAAGTTCTTCAAAAATTAGTTACAGCTGGGAATCATTACATTTAGTGGTAGATATAGAATATTTCTTCCATTGCTAAGTTTTTAATTTGGACTTTGCATACTTCAAAATGACGTACAAGAGATCAGCGTTAAGTCTCTTGATTAAATAAACAGAGGCATAGAATGAAAATAATGTGAAGTATTAGTATCACTTTATAAAACTTTAGTAAGACCATACCTGGAATACTGCATCCAGTTTTGGTCACCACATTATAAAAAATAGTGGAAACTTTGGAAAAGTGCAGAGAAGAGCAACTAAAATGATTAAAGGTCTGGAGACTCATACAAATGAAGAATGGCTGCAAGATTTGGGTTTGGCTGATCCGCAGAAAAGAAGGACTAGGGCTGACATGATAGCAGTATTCCAGTATTTGAGAGGCTGCCAGAAAAAGAGGGGGTTAACTTATTTTCCAAAGCACCAGAGGGCAGGACAAGAAACAATAGATGGAAACTAATCAAGGAGAGAAGCAACCTAGAACTAAGGAGAAATTTCCTGACAGTTAGAATAATTAACCAGTAGAACAATCTGCCTCCAGAAGTTGTGAATGCTCCAACACTGGAAGTTTTTAAGAAGAGACTGGACAACCATTTGTCTGAAATGGTATAGGGCAGGGGTAGGCAACCTCGGCTCTTTTATGACTCATGGACTTCAACTCCCAGAATTCCTGAGTCAGCTGTCCTATTTATCTTCCTGAGTTAAGATCTTTACATATCTCCATTTAAGTCAAAGAAGAAATATGTGAATGACATTGATATTGAATTTGGACAGTGATATGATACATAATTTATGCAGGAAACAAAGACAGGAAAACTGGCACCTCTTTTCCTTCTTGATTGCCATCCGTGAGATCAACCAGGACCCCCTCATCTTACCCAACATCACTCTGGGTTACAACGTCCATGACAGTAATTTCAATGCAGAAATGAATGCTGAAGCCTTACTAGATCTACTTGCTGCTGGGGAGGCAAATGTCCCTAACTACAAATGTGGAAGAGAAAAAAACCTGCTAGCCCTCCTTGAAGGCACCAATTCTGACCTTTCCTCCCATACTGCAACCATGCTGAGCATCTACAAAATCCCACAGGTAAGATTTGTGGATTTGAGACAAGGTCATAATTGATTTTGACCTAGGAAGTTTCCAAGCATTTAGCAGATGGGCAATAAATATTCAAGCTGGATTTCAGACAAAAAAAAAAAAAAAGGTTTATAAAGAAAAAAGGTTTATAAAGGGGTGCCATGAAAGATGTTTTAGAGTTTTCCTATTTGGTGGCAAAAATTTATTTTTTTCACTTATTATGCCAATGAATTTTGAAAAGTAAAATCAGTGCCCCAAGGAGACATATTAGAAGCATAACTCTGTCCTCTGAGGTGCCTTCAACCCAGTGAAAAATACTACCATTTGACTCCAGTCATTTATAAATATTTTACTGCAATGCTCTGGACTTTCTTCTTAGCAAGCATGTTTAGAGAGTTATATGGATATTTATTTATCCAACTTTGAAAGCAATATGTGGAGAGATACTATGTGGTCTGCCAAGGAAAAATGTGGAAGACAAGAAATGATCACCCAGATCTAACTATGGATCTTGTACTTCTTCCTAATCACCAGTCTTGCTTAGGACTTGGATGAATATGTCCAGGGCTATAGGTTGGTCGGGGATCTCCAAAAACATCCCAGAATAAGACAGTGGCAACCACATGCGTATATTTGCCAGAAGAGCTAAATAGATACTTCCCTGAAGTCAACTGTTGCTTTATCTAGTATATCAAACCAAATAAGGCACTGGTCTGTTTATACACTTCTGGCTAAAAGAGTAAATACTTGGGATCCATTTGCCATAGGAATGGATAGGATCCATAATATCTTAAGTTGGTTTCATGAGCACCAGTGATCCATATGATGGCAAGATCTTTAGCTGTTCTTGGTTGTCCATAAAAAGTAAGCAAGGTTCTCATTTTGAAATGTGTTTCTTGATGTTGTGAAAGACAATTGGGAAAGTGAAATGAAATTCTGGATAGCTTCATCTCTTTTGGAAGTGTAAAAGAATATTAGGGAATTCTATACTCTGCATCTGAATAGATACATATATTAAACAATTTAATTTAATTCATAGTTAGAAATAGCCAGTGAGAATGTGAAGGGATTATGTGTTCTCATGAACTGGACCTTCCTTGAAGAAATAGAACTAGTCTTGTTCCCTCTCACAATTATCTCCCAATTTATAATTTACTTACAATTTCAAGTGGAAAAAAAAAGATTTTGCTGGGCGTTATCACTTTCTTCATTCCTCTCCAGATCTCATACGCTTTTGTTTCTGATGATATGAATGATAAAACTCAATTTCCTTTTTTCTACCGGATGCTTCCAAATGAAGGAAACCAATATGCAGGGATTATTAAACTGTTGCAGTATTTCAGATGGACATCAGTGGTTCTTGTCGCTCCAGAAACTGACAATGGAGAAAAGTTTTTGAAAACTCTAACACCTTTACTGGCCAAAAATAGTATTTGTGCTGTTTTCTTGCAGAGGATCCCAATGGTGCAAACTAAGCCATTTAGCATTAACCCTGATTTGTACCACAAATGGAGACAAGTCAATGTATTTATTTACTATGCAGAATCTACTTTGCAGAGTATGTATTTCTATGGGATGGATGTAATGGAGAATGTATTTACATTCTTGATAAAACCTAAAATAAGAAAAATCTGGGTGGTAACAGCTATGTGGGATCTCTCTTTGAATTTGAGACATAAAACCTTCCGATATGTTGATGGTATTTTCTCTTGCTCCATCCAGTCAAAGAACTGGATAAAATATGATACAGCAGAAGTCCTCTACTCTTCAATTGCCCAGTTTGCCACGAAAGCTTTCGTGTGTTCATTTGAAAAGCATTTCGTCCCTGCTAAAAAGTGGGTTAGATGCAAAGAGAGAGAAGAACTGGACAGTCGGTTGCAGAAGGAGATTGAAAACACCCTTTCTCACAGCTATCATGTTTACAATACCATCTGGGCTGTGGCAAGGGCCTTAGATGCTGCCTCTTTCTCCAGATCCAGGGAGAGGTTGATAGGTAGAAATGCCTTGAAACTGGAAAGGCTGCAACCTTGGCAGGTATTTTGTGTTCCGTCAGCTAAACTCAAGAATTGCGAATACTACCAGTAATACTATTAGTTACTATCAGTTATTGAGGATGGTAAAGTAAATACATGTGGGTGGACATCAAAGTTTTCGCAAGAGGCATTTATTCCAATGACCAGCTTTGCATACTACAGTATATAGATTGAGACTGATATGGAAGAGGTTGATTTTGGGAATAAAATAGGCTCCATGAAGAGACCTTGTTGCTTCTATATTCAAGAGTTTCTGTTCTGTAAATCGGGTCCTTAAGGAAAACCTTTTGCCTCTCTACTGACACCACATATTTAATCAAAATCTTAATGGCTGCCACAGTAGAAAATGTTAAGTTTTTTCCAGCAATTGAGAGAAAAGTATTCCTAATGATTGCTTCTTGCTATCACTAACATCTTTGATTCTGAAATTGTTGCTTCTTGGGTTAACTGTTAAAAGTAGTAATAAAAATGTTGAGTTAGAATTGTGGAGACCCAAAATGGTTGTTGTTATGGGGAAGAATGGGAGTAGGGGATGCTATGTATACATCCTTAAAGTAACGAATAAGAGACAGGCTGTTAAATAAATGCATTGCTTTATGATAAATAGTATTTATAATATCAAATTCTTTCCAAAAGTGAAGATTTTAGTTCATGAGAATTTGAATATAAAATCAGCAATGAATCAGGACTGAGTAGGTGACTTTATTTGGTAGAACTTAACTGGGCTTGAAAACTATGTAGAATTGGGCTTCGTATTTGGGTGAGATATTCACAGACAATCCCAGGGTTGCAGACTGGACTGGGGAGATGCAAAGCATATCTGATCAAAATAATAGCAAATGATTTTATTGTTCTTGCCAAGAAAATTCCATTGATATGTCTATAAAATGACCAGAAATTGAAGGTTGCTTCAACAAAAGATAAAAAAATGCCTTGAGGGTCTTTATTTATCTAATGAATCAGAAAAACCCAAGCTTGAGAAGGATGTAGTTGAGATCATGTGATTCTTCTATAAAAGGCTGCAGCTTTTTCTTATTGATGATGTTGTCCTCACCATGCCAGCTTCATCATTTTCTGCAAAACACCCAGTTTCACAACAGTTCCATGGATGGGGTATATTTGGACAAGAACGGCAAGCTAGCTGCTGACTTTGATATTGTGAACTATGTGAAATTTCCAAATAGATCTCTACTTAGAGTGAAATTTGGAAGTTTTGCAAGACAGAAATCCCAGGAACCCAGATTTGTCATTGACCAAGATACCATTTTAAGGCCCCAGTGGCTTAACAAGGTAGGAAAAACCAATGACATTCATTTCTATTTCTTTTTTATTTTTATAACTCCAAATTGCCTTCTTTACACATTAGATTGGGGAGCTAGCAGTCTTAAAGTTCCTACAGAATAAAACCTATAACGAATAATAGAAAAGACAGGAAACTAAGCCAGAGTTTGATGGAATAATTGTTTTTCTTGGGTCTTTTAAATTATCATGATTCACTTCTCAGTTTAATAAACTGAATAAAGCATACATTGTACAGTTATCTGATAAGGGTTAGTCATAGAAATAGTCCCAATGTTGCTGTTTTAAAGTTAAATTTGGTCTGGATCTGAAATTGCTATTAGGGCCTTGCTAACTCTTGCCTTACTATTTCTTTATTCAACAAGTCATCCTTAAATTGTATTCCTTTATATTCCCCATTTTTTTTCTATTTAGAGTCTGCCTCCTTCCAGGTGTGTGGAAAGTTGTCAATCTGGATTTTTCAAGGTGGCTCATGAAGGGAAGCCCATTTGCTGTTATGACTGTATTTCCTGCGCAGAAGACACCTTCTCCAGTCAGGAAGGTGGGTGAAAAAAATCAGCAGCTCTTTGATAAAAGGCAATTGTTTAGCAAAAAGCCTCTCTCCGAGGGAGACAGGCACTAAAGAAATATGATAATAAATAAATAGTTAAATAAATAACTTAATAAAAAGGGTAAATGTTTTGCCTCTAGGTTGTACCTTGCCTGTTCTGTTCGTGAAACCAATGATAAAGAACTGGGAAAAGGATAATCCCACATTACCCTCAGCTCATACCTAACCTTTATTATTGTTCTTTCTTCTATCCTATAAGGTTTTCTTGTTACTGGTATGGGAAAAAAAATAAAACAGAAAATATTAAAGATGTGCTTCTCTTCAGATGCAGATTATTGCACCAAATGTCCAGAAGATCAGCATCCAAGTAAGGAGCAAGATCAATGTCTCCCTAAGGAAATAACCTTTCTCTCCTATCAAGAATATTTGGGAATCATTGTGGCTTCACTTGCAGTCTTTTTTTCCTTAATTACTGCCTTAGTGTTAGCAATCTTCACTAAATACACAGATACTCCCATCATCAAAGCCAATAATCGGAACCTCTCCTTCATCCTTCTCATCTCGCTCCTGCTTTCTTTCTTAACAACCTTTCTTTTCATTGGATATCCAAGGAGAATCAATTGCCTTTTCCGACAAACAGTCTTTAGCATTGTATTTTCAGTTGCCGTCTCTTCTGTCTTGGCCAAAACAATCATGGTAGTGCTGGCTTTTCTGGCCACAAAGCCAGGAAACAGTGTGAGAAAATGGCTGGGAAGGAGATTGACTAATTCTATCATCCTTTGTTCTTCCAGTATTCAGGTGGTCATCTGCAGCATCTGGCTGGTGATCTTTCCTCCATTTCCTGATTATGATATGCACTCCCAATCAGGAGAAATTGTGCTTCAGTGCAATGAAGGGTCTCTTACCATGTTTTATGTTGCTCTTGGTTACATGGGCCTCCTGGCCAGCATCTGCTTCATAGTAGCTTTCCTGGCCAGGAATCTCCCTGGGACCTTTAACGAAGCCAAACTGATTACATTCAGTATGCTGGTCTTCTGTAGTGTCTGGGTGTCTTTTGTACCCACCTACCTGAGCACCAAAGGGAAATACATGGTGGCCGTGCAGGTCTTCTCCATCTTGGCTTCCAGTGCTGGCCTGCTGGGCTGCATCTTCATACCCAAGTGCTACATTATTTTAATAAGACCAGATCTGAATATAAAGGAGCAGCTAATAGTGAAAACATAAACAAGTCTTTTTCTGCATTTTCCCTCTCCAGATGATAAATTCACATACATGTTCTCCTATCACTAATAACATTTGTATCAGACTTTAGATTGTGTGGACTTCTATTTCTACAGATTGTAACAATGATGCCAGATGGGAATTCTCAGAATTGAAATCTATACATCTGCCAAGACCAGCAAATGCTGTTCTAGACAAATCTTTTAATATTATAGGCACAATCTCCACTTTAGTAAGAAATATTTTCTATCTGTTTAGGATAATGACTTTATTTTTATGGCTATTGTCATATTATTGTTACTATTGTCTTTTCTGAAGCATATTCACCAAATGATAGAAATGCAGAGTGAAATCAAAGTTTATATCCATTGTAATATAATATGTGATTCCAACCTAAGTTGTTTTTGTAAACTAAATGTTATGTGATTGAATAATTTCAATTTTGTCAGCTATTTTGACAATTCCATTGTGAGTAGTTCCTAAAAACACTACAGTTCTGAGGAAAATTTTCAGTGGTTTATTCCAGAATCTGTTTCAGCTTTCAAATTGCACTATTTTACAAGATTTTCCCATTCCTTTTGAGCTTTTTATTTTATGTTTCTCTGTCACAATATAAAATGTATCCTTACATAATAAAAAACATAATACAAGTTTAACAATGCAACGAGAATAAAAGCCATCTCAAATCAAATCAACTCAAATCACTTCAGGTCAAATGAAGGGACCAGCAAGAAGGAGTCAGTTTGATTTCCACAGGGAGGCTGTTTAAAAATAGAGATGCTGCAACAGAAAAGAAATCTCTCAGAAATGTTGGATTTGCACTTTTTTTTCTGGTAGATCCAAGTCCGTGGTGGTGAACCTATGGCATGCGTGCCACAGGTGGCACATGGAGCCGTCTCTGGTGGCACGCAAGCCATTGCTGGGCCGAGCTGCTCCCTCCTCCTCTCCATGCATGCACAGTCTGGGAATAGGTGAGAGGCTATAAAAGGAGCAATTTTCTGCAGAAGCAGCATTTGCTGCAGACAGCTTGAGAGTGAGTACGAGTCAGAGCAGGTAGCGAGCAAGCAAGCGAGTCAGAGCGGAGAGTGAGCAAGTGAGCAAGCATGAGCTGACAGCTCAATGGCCATGCCCACTTGGTGGCCATGCCCACTCGGCACTCGGCAATGCATAAGTGGGTTTTGCATTGCAGTTTGGGCACTCAGTCTCTAAAAGTTTCGCCACCACTGATCTAAGTGGTCAGGTTGATTCTATAGCTATCCAAGGGCCATGCCATGAAGGGCTTTATAGGTCAAAACCTGTATATTAAATGGGACCCTGAAACTAATTGACAACCAAATAAATGTCCCCAAATGTAGTGCTCCCAAATGGGGAAGCCCAAAAGTATGTGGGTTTATTTGAATCAATTGCATTTTCTGAATATACTTTAAGGCAATGTTTCTCAACCTTGGCCACTTGAACATGTGCAGACTTCAATTCCAGGCTTGAACCATGACTGAAAAGAGTCTGGATAATTTGCTTTATCTACATTGATGTGAAGTTGGTCCACCACCACGTTATCAACAATCTTTTTTCAAAAAGACAGGCTGGAAATCTGTCAGTAGTTGTCTAACATCACTGAGTCCAGTGATAACATCTTCAGAAAGGGATGCTCTACAGCCTTTTTCATGCTGTCAGCAGTTGCCTGTTCTAGAATAAGCATTGACAATTTTGCAGACGGAAATGGTCATTGCTATTCCTGTTGCCTATACAACTGAGAGGGACAGTGAACAACTAGCAAATGGCAGAAGACAATCGAGATAGCATGCTATCTTCAGAGGCCAAAAATCAAAGGAGTGCCACATAATAAAGCAAGACAATGCTCTAGTCACCCCTAACAGTTCTATCTAGGGAGGAGTCAAGCCTACAATGATTCCAAGTGACTTTATCAGCAAAATTCTGGCCAAACTGGTCATAGTGACCAGGTGGAAGAATGTATAGATATTTTCCCATAAAAGGGAAATGAAACATCTTATACACCTAGGCTTAAGGTAGAAAGAATTCTCTATGGAGAATGGAGGATTTTTTTTTAAAAAAATTAACATTTTAATTTTTTCATATGTATTAATTGTATGAGAAAGAGTGGTAAGAATAAGGGCAAAAGTTAAGGGAAGTTACAAGTAGTTCTTGTTTAGCAACCACAACTGGCACTAGCAACTTGTTTATTAAGTGAAGTGAAACCGTGATTGTGCTTCTGATCTTACTTCAGCTTTCTATAGTACATACTGCCTAATAAACATTGCAATGAACCTTGATTATTTGCTTTGGATCCTGAATTTGGATTCCACAGAAACTGGTATTAAAAGTGGGATTCATAATTTTTAGCTGTGACCCAAGATGAAATTAGGCCACCCAATAGGGTGAGTGTTGTGGTGCGCTTGATCCCTTGTCCCTTTCCATTGGTACATAAGAGCACCATTTATGACTATGCATAAGATAACAGTCTGTATCTATTTTAGTGAGGAAGTTTTATAGAACGTGTGTGGCCCCTTTACAATCCAATTCTCAGTTGCCCTGCTGTGAGTGTCTGATCCACTCTTGACAATGACAAATGATGTCCAGAAAGCAAAACAGAATTTGGTTTTGGAGGGGTGAGTGTGATCCTCCTGTGTCAAATAGAAACAGATCCCAAGATTCTGCTCAAATTCCCTTTCCTCTTTTTTTTTTTTAAATTTATAAACCGCCCCACTCCCGCAGAACTCCGGGCAGCTAACAATAAAAACACAATATAACTTAACAAGACAAACAATACAGTAACATTCATCCAGGGGTCAGATTTTATAAACCCCAGGCCTGCCGGAAAAGCCAGGTCTTAAGCAGCTTGCAGAAAACCAACAGGGTGGAAGCGGTCCTAATCTCCGGGGGGAGCTGGTTCCAAGATGTGGGCACCATCACAGAGAAAGCCCTCCCCCACGCCCCCGTCAAATGGCACTGCTTGGCCGACGGGACCTGAAGGAGGCCCAGCCTGTGGGATCTAACCGGACGAAGGGAACTATGAGGTAGTAGGCGGTCTCGCCTCTTATTTCATTGAATGAAGTCGCCTTAACTGCTATTAGGTAAAGAGGTGTGGGAAGTCAGCCCCTCCCCCCAAAGAAGGAAATATTAAAAGGGCAGTATATTTCCTCAGGATCTTGAAGAGGCAGGAGAGTATGCCCAATTTTCTTTCTTTTTTAAACAAATTTTATTGTTTTTTTAATTTCTTAAAACAAAGTATTCAAGACACACCGTGGTGCTGGGGTAATCAAATATCCTAAAACAAAACATATATACATAGTACAATCAATACATCAAGTATTCCCTCTCTTTTCCCCTCAAATAGCATAGTATATTTAAAATATCCAATTCTAGCTTAAGATTATTCAACCTGAACCTGTTTTTAAGCTTCATTAATTTACAATTCCATAATCAAATTAACTTTAAATAAAGACATTTTCAATTCAAATATCCCTTCCAAGTATGTTCTACTTTCTTAATTTTATCAAAATCTTATTTATTTCTTCTTCCACTAATCTCCCCAATTTAAAGTAAAATATTAATCTACTCTATACCTATCTAATCCATCAATTAATCAATCTCTTTAAGCTAAGAAGATAATATCAGACCTTAAATCATATCAATCCATTAAATAAAATTCAAATCTCATCCAGTTAATTATCATAACTGATAACATCCATATCATCAAAGAATCATATCATCTTATTAAATTTCAATTGATTAATAATTCAGTTCAAATCTAAAACTTCTCTTCAATTTTCTTCATTCCATTACATAATAATTTTCATAGAAATAAATCTAACTTTCTAAAAAAAACATTCTTAATATTCTAGATTGCCTTTAATCCATTATATAAAAATATCTCATTTTTAAACAAAAATATTGATCTATCCTAGACACATCTAAATGTAAGTATTTATCAATCTACTCTATATGTGTCTAATCCATCAATTAATCAATCTCTTTGAGCTGACAGACTAGTATCAGACCTTAAATCATTTCAATCCATTGAACAGAATTCAGATTTCATCCAGTTAATTATCATAGCTAAACATCCATATTATAAAGCAAACAAGTCATCTTATTTATTTAACATTCAATTAATTATTAATTCAGTCCAAATCTGAAATGTCTCTTTACTTCAAACTTGTAATTTTAGTCCTTACATCTGTCTATAGTTCTAGATTGCCTTTAATCCAATTTATGAAGTTTTAAATTTCATTTTTCAATCTTATTCTAGCTTTCCTCTTATGCCAGGTAGGTTTCCATAGCAAGGCTTCCCTTCCAGATGATGAATCTCTTTTTGTTACTTGTAGTGACTGAGAATCTCACAGACATGCTTCCCTTCTGTGAAAGAAAGGAAATGTGTGAAAAACATTTCCAGTCAAAACCGGCCCATAACAAGAATCCAACAAGCAGGAAAGGGGGAAAAAACAGGAAAAAGAAAAAGAAGGAAACTGGATAGGAGAATCTCCAGGTCCTGGACAATGTACCTTATCTGACTGTGAAATCAGAATCTCTGGGAGAAGCATTGGTTTGGATCAGGAGTGGTCATACTATGCACAAGAAAGCAGACAAACTCAACACTTTTTATGGGAGTAGTGGGGCTCCTTTTGACCCAAGACTATTGAGAGCAGTCTAGGGCAAACTGAGAGATTCAAATAACTAATATAAAAATAACAAACAGAAAACTGATAAACCTTATCTGCAACATCTTTTTGGAGTTTAGGTCTTATGAAAGAAAATACCTTGAGACCTAAGAGATCCAGCTGCCCCATTTGGAATTGGGTTAGAACAGTTCTTAAGTGAATCACTGCAGTTGTTAAATTGTTAAGTTAGTAACACAGTTGTTAAGTGAATCTGGTTTCCCCATTGGCTTTGCTTGCTATAAGGGGGTAAAAGGTGGTCACATGACTCCAGGACATTGCAACTATGATAAATATGAGTCAGTTGCCAAATGTCTGAATTTTGAT